CGTCTTGCGAATATCATTGATAGCGATCATAAAGATTTCAAACCTACCACACGCTATTTCTGGACTGATTCCAGCACTGTTTTACAATGGATTCGTAGTGATCCACGTAATTACAAACCGTATGTCGCTCACCGCCTTGGTGAGATCGATGAGTTGACGAAAAACTGTGAATGGCGTTACGTGCCGTCTGATATTAACATAGCCGATGTAGCTACACGAGATGATGCACCACCACTCACGTACTCGGACTCGTGGTTTCAAGGTCCCGCGTTTCTACGCCGACCTGAGAGTGAGTGGCCTAAAGATCGCAAGTTCTCCAAAACATCGCAAGATGTCATTTGTGAGGAACGATCAATTAATGTGGTCACCTGTAGTTCAGAGTTATCTTTGCCTAGTGAAGATAATATCTCGAACTGGATCACATTATGAGCCACCGCCCGTGTATTATTGTTTATTAGAAAATGTCAGCGTAAGAATATTCAGCTTGATGTTTCTTTAATGAAAGAAGCTGAAAAATTGTTAATAAAAAAGTGTCAACAAGATACTTTTTTAACTGAAATATCTTGTTTACAACAAAATAAACCTATTATGCGTAATAGCCGTTTGCTTAAACTTACCCCATATCTCGACAAAACAGGCGTGCTGCGTGTCGGTGGCCGCATCGACCGCGCGGCTGGAGTAGAACCGTCTACTTTGAGACCTTTAATACTTGATGGTCGACATAGAATCACTCGACTCCTGGTTTACCATCACCATAAAGAGGCAATGCATGGATCTAACGAGCTCGTCGTTAACCAGTTACGACAGCAGTACTGGATACTTAAATTAAGACCAACGGTCCGTACTGTGGCTGCCCAATGCCTCAGCTGTCGATCACGGCGTGCCTCTCCGCAGCCTCAACGGATGGCCGATTTGCCTGCAGCGAGACTGCAAATTCATAGACGGCCATTCAGTTTCACAGGCGTCGATTTTTTTGGACCGGTGGACGTTACTATCGGTCGCAGGAGGCAGAAGAGGTATTGCATGCTTTTCACATGCTTAACTATTCGTGCAATTCATATAGAAGTGACCGAAGATCTATCCACTGATTCTGCCATAATGGCCTTACGTCGAATGGGAGCTCGGCGAGGTTTGCCTACAGTTATTTACTCTGATAATGGTACAAACCTAAGAGGCGCCGATACAGAGTTAAAGCGTAGTATTGCAGAGATAGATGTGAAAGCACTGTGTGATGATGGAGCAATACGGGGGCTCGAATGGCGTTTCATTCCACCTGGTGCTCCCGAAATGGGAGGCGCATGGGAAAGGATGGTACGTACTGTAAAGACGGCACTTAAAGTGACCCTTAAAGAGCGAGCTCCTCATCCTGATACACTGGCTACCATTTTAACAGAGGTTGAAGCTTTAGTTAATAGCCGACCTATAACACATGTCTCTATGGATCCCAATTATCCAGAAGCTTTATAATCATTTTTTTACATCATCCACTGGTCCCATGTATGGACAATTTAACGATTCTGACCTTTCTTTACGAAAGCGTTGGCGTATAGCGCAACGCATTACTGATATGTTCTGGAATCGCTGGACGAGGGAGTACCTTCCTACGTTACTGCCCAGACAAAAATGGACGGAGGAAACCAGATCACTACAGGTAGGTGATTATGTTTTAATAGTTGATCCCAAATTGGACCGTGGTTGCTGGCGTCACGGAATAGTCACCGTGAGTCATACAGGGGAAGACGGCCGCGTACGCGTCGTGGACGTACGAACTCGGGCAGGGCTAATGCGTCGACCAGTCACTCGCGTCGCCTTACTATCACCGGCTAGTATTGATAGTGCTAACTAGTTAGCACTAAGGAGGCAGAATTGTAGGCGACGCACTACGATTTAGTTTATATTATTATTATTTGTACTTTTTTACACCTATTTTTGTATACCTATATAAATGTACCCACTTATAGTTTTATTATTAATACAGTCCATTATAAATAAAAATTAAAAGTACTGAGGGTACGCACTATACTTATAAATATAGAATTACCTTTTTCCTTGATTTAGTGCGTGCTCTGACAGTGCTTAGGCAACATCTAAGAAAATTGGTTTTTTTATTTCGCATCCTTTATAGATAATATCAACATATGCGAGAATGTGTGAGTGTATCGTGCACAAAAAATCAATGTGACTTTTGGAAATATTAAGTAATATACAATACAAGCTGCCCAAAATATTTTACTCAATGATGTCAGAGATTGGATAAATTACGTATTTTCATGGACAATGACGATGCAACAAATTTAATTTATTGTTTTTATCAATTTAAACTTTTTTCAAAAAGGAATTTCAAATCGATTTTAGCCAGAGTTAACTCTTTTCAACCCACTATCAAAAATTGAAAACCTTCCATTTTTAATTTATCATTAAGTTCATGTATCAATATTGTGAGCTGTATTCTATCTAATAATATACTTAATTTAAATATTTCACATCGATGCTTTATAAAAGAGCGGTATTAATGCGATAATTTAATTAAAATATCTTCACCTTTTCCTTATTATCATTTGAGCATTTAATTGTCCATTACTCAATTGGGACTTACACACAGTTGCCACTAACTTTCTACGACAGATTTGATTTCAAACACATCGCCAAACTGTAGGTTATCATTTCGTAATTTCTAAAAGATTATATTGTGTATGTTATGTGCAAATAAATGTAAGATTTAAATAAAGTAATGAATTAATGAATAATTAATTACTAGTAGTTCTCTATTGACATTTATAGCGTTCTATGTAAATTGAGAGTAAACAAAATAACTATTTAAGAGCGTTCATATTTTAACTTACCCGAAGTTCAACAATGCCGCTTTTTTTTATACAACTTAGAATGGCAAACAAGCTGACGGCCCACGTGATGGAAAGTGGTAACCGTCACCTATAAACATGAGCAGTACCATGGACATAACAGAGGATACTGTTTCGCCCATGATACCCGTGCAACATGCGTTGCCATTCCTAAGGACTCAGGTGTTATTCCTCTGTACCCAGTAAATTCACGCCACATCCCTTCAGACCTAAACACAGCCATGGAAACACAACTGCTTCACGGTTGAAACACGAATGGGACAGAGGTACCCAAGCAATCGACTTTTATACAAAGTCTCCCTCTGGTGACTTTGTAATTTTCTGTTAATTTTGAAAATATTTTAACTTAACCTAACTAACTAACCAAATGTTTCTAATTGATTGTTTTAAAAGCTCTCTGCTAGTGCATTAAAATGTTAATCATAGAATACGTTGGGTATATATTTTACTATTAAAAAATTCGTACTCAGTCATTAGTAATTTCAGCAGAGTACACAAATAGCATTATAAAAAAATCTTCTGGCAGTAGACTTCTTCTCTTTTGGTCAGATATACTAGCAGATTCATTGCAATTTTCATTTGTTATAGGCAAAGTTATGAAATACTCTTTCTCTCACCAATCACAATTTTTTGGTAAGAAAATTGTTTTTCTTACGTGATGCCTTTGTCCAACGTAAAATTATTTTAACCCATTAGTTGTTTTTGAATGTCACAAATTACTAACAGTAACATACTTTCCGAAACGAAATCATTTTCTCGTAATAAAATAGTTAAGACCGAAACATTTTTTACCTTCAATATAAGCGACAGCCGGTTCACGTCTTAAACAACTGAAGTTAGCCATTTTCAGAAATAATTATTACAAATATGTGGTGTTCTAATAAAATGCGTTATAATGAAGTGAACAATAGCTATGCCCAATAATATATACTAATTGATTATGCAATTATATACTAATTGATTAAAGGGTAGAAACGTGTGCACCATCGTTACCTCACACCGCAAAATTCAAAATAATTATTTTTGATATGAAACAAAACATAATATGTTCCGTGCAAAGACCGCATAGCCTATTTATTCTCACAATTATATTTATAATTTGTTTAATATAAGCATTGTATTTCACTGTAATGAATTGTGAAGAGAAATAAATCTGTTTATTATTATTATTATTATTATTCTCATAACTTCCAAAACCGCACGAATCCGCAACTAATTTATATATATATTCAAATATATACTTTAATCATAAAATAGTAAATTTTACAGCGCATAGGTAAATATAGCTTACTACTAAAACTCAATTAGAATCTAAAGAAACTCTAAAATTTACCGCATCGGATTATATAACGTTTATTATTATGGAAAAAATCATAAAATTACTCAATAAGTAATAATATCTGTTTTTTAAACCTTTATTAAACAACCTTTTCAGAAAATATTGTTATACGTAAACTTGATATCAAATATTTTTATGTAATAAAGCTTTGAAAATGACAGAAAAGTAAGCTTGCATACGGCAATCGACAAAAAGATATAATTTGATTATTTAAAAAAATCATATCAAATACAATATCTCGTCTATTAGATTAATTAATAAAAATCTCTAAATCATGATATTCATAAAAACTATTTATGATCAACAAATTGCCACATTCGTGTTTCAACCGTGAAGCAGTTGTATTTGCATGGCTGTGTTTCGGTTTGAAGGTTGCGATATGGCGTGAATTAACAGGGTACAGAGAAATAACACTTGAGTCCTCAGGAATGGCTACGCATGGGGGGGGATCATGGGCGAAACAGTATACTCTGTTATGTCCATAGTACTGTTCATATCTATAGGCGACGGTTATCACTTTCCATCAGGTGGGCCGTCAGCTTGTTTGCCATTCTAAGTTAAAAAAAATATACTTTAGTAAGCTAAAGTATAAACGCGCTTAAAACGATCGTATATCAGTATATAATGTGGTTATGGCACAAGTGTGACATCGCCAGCCAGTGGCAGCTCACGAACCATATATACAGTATGTCGGGCCACGCAAACCATCACCTATCGTCCTAGTAGATAGTACATAAAACAGAAATATCCATTTTCATAAATGACATGTACAATGTTTTCCTCTCTAAAGTGTTACCCACCTGTTTAAACCCACGTCGATAGCGCGCGTTCATGTAACAGTATATGATGGGGTTGTAGCACGAGTGCGACATCGCCAGCCAGTGGCTCGCGAACCACACGTACGGCATGCCAGGCCACGCCGTCCATTCATCATCACTCTCGTGTACTGTCCAAAGCACCTAATGAAAATATACCTTTGCTTTATAATAAGTTTATTAATGATTATTTCCTATCTCATTCATAATTTTTGACTTAAATATATGATACATGTGCAAAGGATAGGTACAAGTCCTAATAACAGTGAAATAGGATTACGCTATTTACAAATCTCTTCTCTGCTTAGTTTCAATAGACATATTCAAGCGGAGAAGTGATATTTGTACTCGTAATTGTTTGGTATGTTCAAAACAGTTACGAGAAACTGTTAGCAAAGATCAAGTATGAGCGTTGTTGGGTGAATGTTCCCTCCGTGATACTCTATGTATCAAACGATCTAAATAATCTAGACGAACATAACGTTAATTTAGTAATTATTGAATAATTTCTTAATTATCTATTTAGATTTGTATATACTTTTCCAAGCAATAGAAGTATACATTCGACATAATGTAAAAATAATTAAATTATATATTTATAATTTTTTACAAAACATTATCGTAAAAATGATTTGTATATAATACTGTGATCATTATCAAATACGTCATCTGCATTCATATCTAATGAATACACAGGTAGGAATAATTAAATTTTTAATCAAACTGTTTAAAAATAATTGATCCAAAATATCTGGATAACACAAACTTCTCAACATTACTTTGAGGAATTTGCCACAAAACCTTCAAAGTATAAAGTACATCTAAACTTGTACCTTTCACAGTAAATAACTTATGGGAGTTAGAAACTCCTACTTCTAACAGATTGCATTTAAAAGCAAATTTAAAAAATCTATGATTCTTTTAGATGTTCACCAAATTTTCAGGTAAGTAATTTTGATGAATCCATAAAACACTAGTCGCTATAAACCGTCAACTAGCGTCAACTGAAATAATAATTTTAATAGCAAAATGAAATGAAATGTTATTATAATTATGTAATAAGTAAATATGCCAATATTTGTTTTCTACGATTACCTTAGTAGATATTATTTATAAACTTGATCCTTTTTGCCGATTTTCCGACCAGGGTTGTATTACATGGTCGCAACAGGACTAATCAATATAAATAAATATATATAACCTAAAAACTTAAATTTCACTATTATCCATCTTAAAATACTCATGAAAATTATCTATGAAAAGTGGTTCAATTGTCAATTGATAGTATACCTTCCGTGAACGAAAAGAATACTATCAATATTATTGGTAAAACAATCGACTTGAAAGAGATTTGTGTGTTCAAATCCCGTCGGATCGAGTTGTTAGAAGATAAGTTTTCCAAGCTATTATTTAAGTATGTATAAATTGTTTTTATTGACTTACTATAAAAACATTTAATGGTAGCCAACAGATTGTAAATACTGCAACTACCGTCACCATCATTTTAATCATCTGTGGACAAAAAAGTTTGTATAATGCCATAATTATAAACATTGAATAAGTTCCAAATCATTACTATACTTTTATATACTATTAATAAAACTTAATATAACCGAATATTTTTCCTAAAGAAAGATGTTGTTTATTTTAACAGTATTCTATTTACTTTGTATTCTAAATAATATATATTATATATGATTAGTTTCTATTTTCTATTTACTGATTTCTTTTTTTGTACCTTTCCTGCACTAGATTACCTGCTAATCATTTTCCCTGTCCCGCATTGGATTGGCTGGAAAAGATTTCTTTCAGAGATAAGCCTATTCTTGCTAACAAGTTGTTAAACTAATCGCAGTATCTTTTTTATAAGTACAGTTAAGAATATAAAATAGTAATAATAACAATTTTCAACCTTCTACAAATACATAAAATACGGCGTACCCCGTTGTGAATACTAAATTCAACTGTAAATTTATTATTATTTTTAGTCTCACTTTTCATTAGGAAAAATATGATTATTTAACTGTATACTTACATAACAAATACAACACATACAAAATTTGTGCGTTTGAATTAAAGTTGTTAGAATTGTGTTACCATTAAGTAGAGATAATCCAATAGATACTTTTTAAGCGAGTATAAACTATACTGAAATATATTTAGTAAATTTTCCATTAATAGGAAGGCCTGATAACACAAAGAAAACTAATTTAAAGACAAAACTCGCCCTCGTAACAAATTTCATAAGATTTAATTTCCTACTCCTACTGTTCAGCAGATAATTAGAACAAGAAGTTCTATTTAATAAAATAGGTTGATACCTGTCTTGATAATTATATTCTATATAAAGATTTTATAATTAGGAACACTAGAAAATAGGCACTTGTTGATTTGTTTTTCAGACTTCTGAATTTATCTATAAGAAGATCGCAAAAAACTTTCTCTTCGAAAAAATCGTAGGTGCTCATTTTATGCATAGATTTTATTCAGTTAATTAATATTTACCTTTCGTTTAGAACTTTGCATGCGCGAGTCGCGTACAGTCTGCGCCTCTCCAGGTGGACGGCCGCCCCACACGACGTGCGCTATGCGCGCGTACGTGCACACGAGAGCGCTTAGCGGCAGCGCGAACTGAAGCGCAAGCAGCGCGCATGTATATTGCTCACTTTGTTCTGCATTGGCCCAATGTTCGCCACATATATCTCTAAAATTGATAATATTTTTAGAATCATAATAAAGACGAGAAATAATATATTTTAATAATACTTTTAAATGACAAGCAATTTTCCAGCTGACTGTATTTTTTTTTATAAAACTTAGAATAAAAAGCGGTAACTGTCGCCTGTTAACAAGAACAGCACAAATAAATATCACAGAATATTCTATGATACCCATGATACCTCACATATGTTGTCATTCTTGAGGACTGTGGTGTTATACCTACGTATCTTATAATTTCACCACGATATTCAAATCGAAACAGAGCCATGTAAGCACACTTGCATTACGGTGAAAACACGAATGAGGCAAAGGTGTCCATGCAAGATTTTTGTACAAAGCCTCCCTAAGGTTATATGTATTTAAAATAATAATCAAAAGTACTAAGATGTTTAGCAAACATTGTATATCAAATACACTGAGTTCTACTGAAACTCCATTGAACTTAATCAAATGCATTGCTGCTTCATAGCAGCAATATATGTATATTTATTTACATATACAATCTATATGGATATATCAAAAACAAATACCAAATATACACAGAATCAGATCTTGTGTTTATACACAGTAATCTCATAGCAATGTCTCCTTTCTTTAAAACAAAACACAACATCAATCAATCTGTTTGATGTAAACAGGCTAATGACTTTAGTTATAGTTACATTCAATAATATGTTAATTCAATGGACAAAAAACAAAAACAGAATTAAACTTACAATTCACAAGCCTCATGCCAAGGTGAAGGTCGTTGTAACTGAGAAACTATAGGTATAGGCGCAGCTGTAGCTAAAGCGCCAACCCATACTACAGCCACAACCATTTTGGCAGCTGCCTTCCCTAACCGAGGTTTTAACGGTCTCATAATGGCCATATATCGATCAATCGAGATTGCAAGTAAAGTATAAGCACTCACAAATACTGACACTGCCTGTGAATAGTTCACCACTTTACACATCACTGCACCAAAAGGCCAATATCTCAACACTAGCATAGACACAAAAGAAAACGGAATACAGAATAACGTCATTAGTATATCACCTACTGCCAAGTTCACTATAAAGAAGTTAGTTACAGTCTTCATTCGTGGCGTTGTATGTACTACGAAACATACTAATCCATTGCCCAAAAGAGCCACAAGAAATACAGCGCTGTACATAAAATATACACATGTTTGAAACAGTGATGACGTGAGAAAGTCCTCAGATGTCGTTTCAAATACGCAAGCCATTTCTTGAGGCCAAGTGTAATTATAATAGAATGATTCGTTGGATATTTGCGAGTCATTCTGAATACAATGTGCTGATGTGCAGGAATATGGATTTTGGACTTCATTTTCAATCGTAGGTTCGCTAGCGTGAAGCATCCTTCAAAAGGTTATAGTCACATCTTTACTATCTGAGCGATCTTCTTCGTTTTACCTGAAAAAAAACGACAGCCTTTTATTATAAGTGCATATAAGTACATCTATTTACGCTTTAGTTTTAAATTAAACGTCTATTTATGGTATTTATGTACCTACAGATTAAGTAGTAATAGTCAGAGAATAATTTTATTCATATTTTTTACTATTTTTATTTTATTTTCACATAACATTTTCATCTGTACACTTTAATATGTCATTAAAGTTTTACTAGCACTAGTTATTTTATTTTTATTTTTGCAAAAGTTTTATTTTATTTATGATACACCTATGTAGAATTCTCCAGAATGAGCGCGTCTTAATTAAATAGATGTGTTTAATAAGTTTTAAGTTGTACATTAATAAGCCAGCAAGGATATGCAAACGTCTCCACGTAGGGCCGCGTGACGTCAGTGGGGAGAGCAGTAACATACCTGCCATTTGTCAAGGAGATTACAGATAAAATTGGGCATATCGACGTAGAATTTTTCCATCAACTGTCTGGCCTGGAGGGACGAATTCTTGATGGACAATCCCCCGAACATCGAACTCTTTCTCGGCCCTCTCTATATCGGCAAAAATTTCACGGCCATTCTTTACGCGCTGCTCTTCAACGGAAGCGGGCTCCATGCTGACGGGGTTTCGTTCGTAACTTAAGATGGCGTGACAAACCACACGGCGGTCAGACCAGAACTGAAGCATTGTTAGGGACATAAGGAAGGGGTCCTGCGCTTACCTGGCCTCTATTTGTCAAGGAGATTACTGCGTAACTCTCTCTCTTTCTCGCATTCCAGAACACTTTTATACGAATAAAGGATATGTAAATTCCACGTAGGGCCGCGTGACGTCATATATTACGTCGTAAATTTAGTATTAAGACGATATTCCATCCCCTTACACGAATCAGGGATTTGCTGCGGTTTCTAAAAGACAAAGACCCACCCACTAGGAGTCCCTAGCGTCTACATGATTCCATGCGACGGTGGTAAATATTACCTAGATAAGACAAGGAGAAACGTATCCACAAGGCTAGCCGAACACATCCGCTCTATGAAGAATGTAGACACGGACAGTTCCGCTGTGACAGAGCACGCTTTGTCCTCTGGTATGATGCACTGTATACGTTTTGACAAGGCCTGAGTCTTAGCAAGAAAGAAGCTAGAGAATTCCTCGCAAGATTCATAAAGCAATAAAAATTACTCGTTACCCTCATTTCAATAGGAACAAAAGATAGACTTTGTCGAAGTCATGAAGAACGTGCCCCAGGAATGTCAGAGATCACTACGTGAATTGTTGAGAGAAGATACGGTGAGCTTTACGTATCAGACTGTGTTCGAAAACTCACAAGAAAATAATTAATTTCCCGTTACACACATATATATGTGTGTGGTGTGGTGGTATCGGTCAAAGAAACAGGTAATGGTTACTCAACTTTAACCATCTTTTGATTTAAAGTGCGGTAGTCTACACAGATCCTTAAATTGCCATCTTTCTTCTTAACAATAACCAAAGGGCTTGCATATTCTGAATAGCTGGGACATATGATGCCCTCATGCAACTAGTCATCGATTTGACACTTGACATATTCTTCTTCGACCAAAGCCAATCGTCGTGGACCCTGAACTACAGGTATGTCATCTTTTGATATTAATTTTAAATGGAGCTTCTTTGATTTTTAATGGTTTATAACTAACTACGATATCACGAACCTGAAGCGGAATATAGACACTATTATTTATAACAGAAGGTAAACATTGTAAATATTGACTACTGTATGATTGTGGGTGTATATGAATCATGCCGTTTTATTATTTTTATAGTGCCTGACAGAAGAGTTTGTCCAGACAAGACAGGATAGGGTATAGCATCTGTTGGAACCATATATACATATATAGATGTCGTATAAAAAATGAACATAAGTTTTAAATATAACAACCAAGAATAATAAGCTAGGATTAATTCCTTACATTAAGTCGTAACTTATAATGACTTTTTCCCTATACATTTCAATCATACCTAATATAATATATTTTAACCAATATATCGATCGATTTATCTAAATAAATAAATAAATCAGATATCTTGAAAATATACGGTAAATGAATTATGTTCCAAATATTTCTAAAAGTTACTCTCGCAAACAATAAGCAGGTACTTATAAACGCGGGTTTGACAGGGTGTTGGCATGTGATTGATCACCTATAATGAAGTATTTACATGATATAATATTTTTCGCCTATTGAAATTTTCAAGACTAAATATATTAACATTCATTTTGCGCTCCCTTCATTACTTATATTAAATCACTGACAGATAATGGAATATCATATTTACAATAATAGACTTGATAATCAAGTTAATATAGAGTTAAAAAGTTTTAGTTAAATTGTTTGACTAATAATTCAAATACCAGGTCACTCAGAAAGTACTGCGAGAAAAAGTTTTTATGTATGTGAGACTGGTCAGTTATAATTTATTTAAAAATATGATTACTTGTAAGTAATAATAGGTGCGTTCTAAATTCAAAACTTCTCTCCACATTTTTTGCGAGCTAATTAAAATTACCGTGTCTCATTAAAAATTGATTTGCGTCGAGAACATTTTCGCCCTGATTTTTTACGATTTTAAGTGTCACCTGTAACCGGACATATCATATGTAGACTTCAAATGGCATTCATAGATGAAGGCCCTTTTAAGGCAACCGCGTATCGTTGGTATAATGAATTTAAGCGCGGTCGACTAACTTTGGGGGATGAAGAAAGAAGTGGTCATCCTTTGACGGCTGTTACGGAAGAAAATGTGCTAGTAGTGAAAAATTTGATTCAAGACAATAGACGAGTTACATACCAAGAGATTCAGCATATACTGCAGATTGGATCAGGAAGCCTTCGCGAGATTTTACACGTGCATCTACGGGTGCGGAGGATAATTTCACGCCATGGGTGCCGTACAACCTCACCGATGTTCAGAAGCTTATTTTCAGCAGTAGACAGTTAAAGGCTGATACAAACGAAGAAAGATAATATTTTTATCTTAAAAAGTTTTATTGTAAAGCTAGGTATTTACCATAAACAATAATTCTCTTTATATAATCTTCAGTAAGTAATAACAGTTTGGTAGAATCTCGTGACAAGCTCTTTTTATACCCATTTTCCATTTAAAATTGATCGGGAGTTATTCGCTATTCGAATATTATGCAAGCCTTGTTGAATAAGTATTCTGATAAAATTCTCTTTCAAAATTGTTTATTGCGGAAAAAGAACTAGGTACAATATTAATCTCTTCTTTTTCCATTTTTATAAATCAGGAAAACTAATAAATAAGTATATTTTGCTCCTTAACAATCTTCACAAAAAATTACTTCTATTATAAACAAACATACCTGCACGGATAAAAGTCGAAAGGTTTTATAGATAGATACCTTACCGTGTAAACATTTGCATTGAGAACACGAAATTGTTTATTTGCATGCAGATTTTGTATAGTAACGAGCAATTTTATTTCTTCGCAAAGAAAAACGACTGCTTCACTCGTCACAATAGTAAACTCAACAAAATTCAATTCAATTCCATGCAAAAACATTATGAAAATGCTATTCAGAATTCATAACGTAATAATAGCTACAAAAAAAACTGAATTGACCCTCCTTTCAGAAGTCTAGAGCATTATAATTTATTCTAATATAATAAATGAGAATATTACCTACAAGTTTGTCTATTATACTTCGACGGCTACATTGTTGGACTGATTTATTAAGTATACTCGTACGTAATTGACAGATAGACAGAGATAGATGATGTAACCACTTCAATTTATATGAAAACAATACGTGCTTCTCGTAGAAAAACTGCAGCTACTACTACCTTGTTTTTCCACAAAATGTGACGTTACAAAAACTATTCTTTGTTGTTGATAGTAAACTGAATTCTAGACTCTTTTAAAAATAGAATTTACAAATAATATTCTTTTATTTCATATGTTTTCTTTTTTGTAGAATATGTTAGCCTCAATTTGGACGAATTTTAAATAGATTATTTTGAACTTGGTTTTAAAATTAACAAATACGCCAAAAATATAAGTGCGACATTTACGACTCAAAAAAGACTGTCAACTACAATATATCTAAGTATCATCTCTCCCAATACCTCCTTAAAACCCTTCATCTTTCCCCTTCCTTACTATACTTACTTTCTTGTTTTTTTTTTCATGATGTTGCTATCTCATTCTGTTACATATAAGTGGTAGCGGAAACTTATTTATCGATAAATTCGTTTGTCACTTATGTACGGGAATATCATTAAATCTAGTTCCAAATAACATCAAAGGTCAAAGGTATCAAAGGGACGTCAAATTTATAGAACTGTTTAGTTCTGGACATTAACTACGCTTCGTATAACGTTGATTAGCCATACTAATCATGCCCATTTCGAGTTCGTGGAACATACGTAATATAAAATGAAACGATCTCGGAGGATGGATAGATGTGACATTAGATTTTAATTAGCAATCGACACGGTTATTGGGTTAGCAAAGGACCATTTGTGAGGCTTGATATAACGTCTGTTATAATGTTAACTTAGACACAAAACTTAAAATGAAATGTTTAATAGAAAAGAGTGTCTTCATTTATCACGCGTCACACACTACGGTATCCATTTAGTATCAGTCGAGCTGTATAATTGTTTGCCACCATTGTAGTAAATAAATCTTTACAATTCTACAATATATATTTTTATACAACATGGAATAGCAAATAAACTGACGCCTTTTCTGATGTAAAATGGTAATTGTCATCTATAGTCATAAACAGCCCATAACCAATACCCACAGTACTTCTTATGCGTTACCATTTCCGAGGACTATAGTTATATTCCTTCGTTATATAATTTCACTGTCATAATCCCACTCTTCAAACCGAAACAATGCACAGTTTCATAATGTCAAAAACATGAATGCAAACATCTTTGGTACTAAGTCCCCCTCTAGTATGTTTAGCGTGGGTGGAGTTAGGCTTCTAAG